CTTTCTCGGGAGCCTCCTTATCGTAACCATAGGGATTCTCGCTCTGCCACCTCCAGGAGTCCTCCATAACAGTCTTCATATCACGAGTGGCTACCCATCCCAACTCCTTTTCGGCCAAAGCAGGGTTGCAGATAACACTGCCGAGATCACCGGCCCGACGAGCAACGACTTTATAAGGAATCTTCTTCCCTGAAGCTTCCTCAAAAGCTTTGACCATCTCAAGCACGCTAGCACCACGTCCAGTGCCGAGATTGTGAATGTGCGCGCCGTGAATATCATCACGTAGTAAGTAGGTGACGGCCTTGACGTGAGCATCAGCCAAATCCATAACATGAATATAATCACGGACTCCAGTTCCATCAGGTGTGTCATAGTCGTTACCGAACACGTTGAGATGCGAACGTCGTCCGATACCAACCTGAACAACATAGAATTACGGCCACACCGGTTCGACTAAGTGAGAATCCGAATTAGCCTACTTGCTGAATGAAGGGCATAAGATTGTTTGGATATCCTGAAGGAGCTTCCCCAATGAGACCCGACGGATGCGCACCGACAGGATTGAAGTACCTGATCATCGCCAGTCTGTGGAATACATGAAACTTCCAATCTGAATGTGCCCAACTGTCAACCATATCGTGTTTGTCTACGCCAATGGTTACGTGAGTCGATTCAAGCACTACCAAATTCATATGCTTACTGCATAATCACTGGGTGTAGCAGAATCGTTCGTGCTGTACATTCATACACTACGGGTATCTTTAGGCCACGTGGCGATTACAACCACTACATCAAAAGAGCACAACACGTCCATGGCAATTTAGGTCAGACCATCAGACATTACTCGTCTCCGAACATTTGAACGATACGCAGAGAAGTTTTTGGCTGAAAAACAGTGATCAAGAATAATGCACCACTGAGAAACACATCCTCAAACCTCTGGAGGGAGCGTTTCCATATCTCGGCTCGAGACACGACCTCGACTCGAGATTCTCGAGGAAACTCTACTACTACTACTACTACTACTACTACTACTACTACTACTACCACTACCACTACTACTACTACTACTACTACTACTACTACTACTACTACTACTACTACTACTACTACTACTACTACTACTCTTACAAACCCCATCGCTCCCAAGTCCATCCTTATTACCTCAGCAGCTCAACCTTCATCTCCTTATCTGGGACACAGCAGTCCTCTAGTATTTGTTCCATCATCCTCTTGGTCTGCCCATATGGATTAATCGGTCCTAGCGGCCAGTCCTCAGTCAGGGGCTTCTCACTGGCCTATGAACAAATACTTCACACCGCAAGGACCGTTCTCAAACTTGCCTGATACACCGTAGCACTGCTCGAAAAGACAACTTTCTTGCAGTTGTATTTCAGCATAGCTTCCAGCATAGTGATGGTCCCTCCAATGTTATTACGGTAGTACATCAGAGGCTTCTCAACGCTCTCACCTACCGCTTTGAACGCCGCGAAGTGAATGACACAATCGAACTTCTCATCCCGGAATAGCTTCTCCATGGCATCAACATCACCAACGTCCGCGTTGAAAAAAGGCACATCTACCCCTGTAATGGTCTTGAGGCGATTCAATACCTCCACCGAAGAGTTCGATAGGTTATCCACAATAGCACACTAAAAGGAACATAATTCTCCGCGACCATACTTAGAGAATTCTCACATCATATCCTGCCTCAAGTAACATCACGATGGTATGCGAACCAATGTAGCCCATTCCGCCGGTACATAGAACTCTACCCTTAGAAGCCTTACCTGTCATAATACTAAGTAGGGAGCTGACAAGTTAACGATCATCAACATATGAATGACCGTGGACTCGATAGCAGACGACTTCTCACTGCGGAAGACATCCAAACCAACCACTAGATTCATTCTAATTCATATAAACTCAACAACTCTAGCTCAGTTGTGACAGTATGCATAATACCTCTGGTGAGATACCTTAGGAATTGCTAGAAACGGAAACAAAGTTATACCTATTTGGTAGTAGTAGGTCCACACTGAACATGATAAAGGTATGATAATGAGCCTAGCACGGTGGGGAGCACTGGCTGAGTACAGTCTACTCAGCCTCCTCCTTAGGAGCCTCCTTATCGTAACCATAGGGATTCTCGCTCTGCCACCTCCAGGAGTCCTCCATAACAGTCTTCATATCACGAGTGGCTACCCATCCCAACTCCTTTTCGGCCAGAGCAGGGTTGCAGATAACACTCCCCAAGTCACCTGGACGACGAGCAACGATCTTGTAAGGAATCTTCTTCCCTGAAGCTTCCTCGAGACCGTGGATCATCTCAAGAACGCTAGCACCACGTCCAGTGCCGAGATTGTGAATGTGGGTGCCGTGAATATCATCACGTAGTAGGTAGGTGACGGCCTTGACGTGAGCATCAGCCAAATCCATAACATGAATATAATCACGGACTCCAGTTCCATCAGGAGTGTCATAGTCGTTGCCGAATACATTCACACAGGGACGACGGCCAACAGCAACCTGCTGTACATAGGGCATCAAATTGTTAGGGCGACCATTGGGTGATTCGCCGATGAGACCAGAGGGATGAGCACCAACAGGGTTAAAGTAACGGAGAAGCTCAACCTTCGTCTCCTTATCAGCAACGCAGACATCCTCCATGATTTGCTCGGTCATAAGCTTTGTCTGACCATAGGGGTTGATGGGCCCGAGGGCATCAGTCTCGACAAGGGGTCTCTCCTGGGGCTGGTACACAGTAGCACTGCTAGAGAAGACAACTCTCTTGCAATTGTTGTTGACCATGGCCTGCATGAGGTTGATGGTACCAGTGATGTTATCATAGTAATACATCAGAGGCTTCTCAACACTCTCGCCGACGGCCTTGAAACCAGCAAAGTGGATGACGCAGTCGAAATGCTCAGTAGAAAAGAGCTTCTCCATGGCCTCAGCATCGCAGCAATCAGCCTTGAAGAAAGGCACGTCAACACCGGTGATGGTCTTCAGACGCTCGAGGACGATCGGGTTGGAGTTGGACAGGTTATCAAGGATAGCGCACTGAGAAGAATAAAAGATATGCGGTGGTGAAGACTGGAGAGAAAGCTGGGGGGTACATCATATCCAGCCTTGAGGAGTTGGACGATGGTATGCGAGCCAATGTAACCCATGCCACCAGTGCATAGGACGCGAGCCTTGGTGCTTGCAGAGACGGCCATTATAGGAACTGTAGTTGAGATGAAAGATCTGCAAAGGCAATAGGATGAATCCTAGACACGAAGCGCCGACCGATTCTGTGTAGATCAACATGGATGCTTATGAGAACTTGATAGGTTTTGTAGGAGGGATCTAAACTCATCAAAACGCGTTAGTCCAGAATGCCATTAAATGGACGCTGTGAACTACCAGTGTAACTGCACATTATCGTGTATGGAGTGTACGACGAATGCACTAAGCCTAGCAGACGACAAGCTGTGGCCGGGATGCGATTTTCCAGATTCGGCAAGGCGGAGCGAAGTTATACTAAGATGTAACTACCGACCGACTCATAGCAACTTAGTAATTATCATTCGAATAAAGTTGTGGAGTAGGAAATCAGCACACGTGTGGATTGTGCTTTACTCCCCTAACCCTTGTTGTGGGTCCAGTTTGCCTACACCCTTGTTATCTCATCAAACCTTCGCCTTCCTCTTTATACCGAATGAGCCCAATATCGATTACTGTGCTGCTAAGTGTGTGCATCCGTACAGAACTTAAGTGCAGGTAGTGCGCTTATTGTTATTGTCCTAGGGTCGTAGTATTGGTTGCTCTAGCTCGAGTTCCCTTGTTCTGTTGTCCTTAAGAGTTCATCAACTGATACCCCGACACCCTTCGAGTAATGATATTGTTCACGTCGGTTGATGCGAGCTTGACATAAACTCAGCCAAACTCAACAGCTTTAGTTTGCTGACTAGGCCCCGACAAAATTCATAATATAATATGTTCTTTACCTTCATCGAGTTATAGAATATATACTTGTGCAAGAATAAATACCACTATAGGTCTCAAGAGCATGAGCTTAAGACAAGTGGCTAGTGATACGGTAGAGAGACGTAGTTTCGACGGTGCCATCGGCGACGCAACAAAACTAGTCCAACACATAGCAAGAGTAAGATTGAAAATAATAAGCAGCCAACTGTGAGTTCAGAGAAGACCTGTGTTGTAAACGGTAATGAAAAATGATTCGTAGAATCGGTTATCAGTTCACCGACAACAACAGCATGACTCTCACCAAATGCCCAATTCTTCGGAACAGGCTTTAGATTTAGAATGTCCGTCCCGGCTGGCATCTTCCCATAAAAGGCCTTCAGAACGTCCGTCAAGTTATGCGGCAGATTAACGTTAACCTCACCGTTCAACCAAGCCTTCACCACTGGGAGGAGACTTGACTTGTTAGGGCACACTTCAGGTACGGCGCGAACGCAAGAGTCAGCACTAGCTGTCGAGCAATGGCAGTCTCCGACGTCCTCATCCAACACCAAATAGATGTCAGTAAAGCATGCCTGCTTCTGGTAGACCGACGTGATTCTCAACTGTTTGAAATCACATCCAGGGAATTCATTTTCGGGATGATCTGTGGTGCCCTTCCCACCAAAGTACTTCAGTTCGAAACCTTCGGGGACGTGAGGCTTCACCAGACCGGCGATATTAGTAGCATTAGAATCACTTCTTTTCATAACGGTGACACACTGTGATTGTGAAATGCCCGTGTCACCATCGGTGTCCCACGGGATCTGCCCGCCACCGTGACGCTGCCAGCCCAGCAAACTGCCAGCTAGCAAGAAGGCGTCAACGCCCACAGCCTCGAATGCACGCGTTGCAACTTCGGTTGTTTTCTGAATACACATGAGTCTATTGCGATGCTCAGAAGGGGAACTCCAAAGATGATATGATAATAGATCGTCGTTGCTCATACAAGCTGATCGCTCGATATAAACTGTCTGCTTGGGCCAGTCCACACCATCAAGGGCATTGCCAACACGTTTAGTGGACACAGGTAGAGCCGATCGAGTGGTGCAGTAGGAATGCGTTCTCGAGAGTCGACCTTGATCATAGGCATGGGAAGCTCTACAAAGAGTGACCTGAGGAAAGTCA